AAACTGCTCAGTCGAACTGACGTACATCCAAAAACTGATCGTGAATATGAAATCATAAGTTAAAATTTTCAACTGACGGCAACCCACGTATTTTTCCGGGCGCACCGTAATCCGCTGGCTTCAGTTCGTTTCCATTATTGGTAAGTACATACTTTCTTAGTAGCTACTTACATTATTTGTATATTGTTTAGATTTTATATTATTTTACATATTTAGAGAAGTTATTTTGACGGAGAATGGAGACCAAGGTAATTGTAATTATGTCACCTTCCTTATGATGGACTCAGAAAGTGGGTAAAGGATCTCAGTGATGCTACTACGTAGAACTATCGTGTTTGGACTCATTTTCAAATAAGTAAATGGAGACCTAGATGATTGTGATGATATCACCTTTATGTTGGTGCAATCCGAAGGTGGTATAGGATCTCAGTGACGACACTAGATAGAATGACCGCGATTGAACTCATTTGAATGGGCTCATAAAGACCTAGATGACTTTTATAACCTCACCTCTCTGATGGTGCAATCCGAAGGTGGGTATAGGATCTCAGTGACGGCACTAGATAGAACGATCGTGTTTGAACTCATTTAAAAGGGCTTATAAAGACCTAGGTGACTTTTATAACCTCACCTCTCTGATGGTGCAATCCGGAGGTGGGTATAGGATCTCAGTGACGGCACTAGATAGAACGATCGTGTTTGAACTCATTTGAAAGGGCTTATAAAGACCCAGGGTGACTTTTATAACCTCACCTCTCTGATGGTGCAATCCGAAGGTGGGTATAGGATCTCAGTGACGGCACTAGATAGAACGATCGTGTTTGAACTCATTTAAAAGGGCTTATAAAGACCTAGGTGACTTTTATAACCTCACCTCTCTGATGGTGCAATCCGAAGGTGGGTATAGGATCTCAGTGACGGCACTAGATAGAACGATCGTGTTTGAACTCATTTGAAAGGGCTTATAAAGACCTAGGTGACTTTTATAACCTCACCTCTCTGATGGTGCAATCCGAAGGTGGGTATAGGATCTCAGTGACGGTACTAGATAGAATGACCGCGATTGAACTCATTTGAATGGGCTCATAAAGACCTAGGTGACTTTTATAACCTCACCTCTCTGATGGTGCAATCCGAAGGTGGGTATAGGATCTCAGTGACGGCACTAGATAGAACGATCGTGTTTGAACTCATTCAAAACGGCTTATAAAGACCTAGGTGACTATTATAACCTCACCTCTCTGATGGTGCAATCCGAAGGTGGGTATAGGATCTCAGTGACGGCCCTAGATAGAACGATCGTGTTTGAACTCATTTGAAAGGGCTTATAAAGACCTAGGTGACTTTTATAACCTCACCTCTCTGATGGTGCAATCCGAAGGTGGGTATAGGATCTCAGTGACGGCACTAGATAGAACGATCGTGTTTGAACTCATTTGAAAGGGCTTATAAATACCTAGGTGATTTTTATAACCTCACCTCTCTGATGGTGCAATCCGAAGGTGAACGGCACTAAGTAGAATGATCGTGTTTGATGAACTCATTTGAAAAGGGTTTATAAAGACCTAGTTCAATGTGATTATAAAACCTTCATTATGGTGAACTAAGAAGGTGGGGCAAAAGATAAAAATAAATAATACATTTATTAAATAAATAAAATTTACCATAATGAATAAAATTATCATAATATCTGACCCATTTCTTAAAAGTGTCTTAATACTGACCTTATCATGAAGAAAAATATCTTTTGAAGTGTTAATATATAGGAAACGATATTTATATATATATATATATACGAGACGGATTTCATTTGTCGATCGATGGGGCCGCTGCCGTGCGCGTTTAGTTGGCGTGACTCCTATAAATTAAAAAATATCATTTCCTATCTATTAACTAGCTGTTCCCCGCAACTTCACCCGCGTGTAATTTATTACGATTGGATTTCATGGGTTTTAATGTTTTTGCGCGGAACCCTAATTCTTTTTCTAAATTAAAAGTAGCCTAAGTTCCTCCCTATAATATCAGTTATCTGCCACTGAACGTCTCGTCAAAATTGGTTCAGCCGATTCGGAGATTAGCCGGGACATACAGACAGACAGACAGAAAGACAGACAAAAATTTTAAAAATTGTGTTTTTGTTATAAGTACCGTATGTACTTTCATATGTATTTAGTAAAAACTGTTATTTTGACAATACAAACAGACACTTCAATTTTATTTATTTGTATAGATATATATTAATATACAGGAAATGATATAAAATAAGATTTAGGTATTATTAAATATCATTTAATTTATCTATATATATGATATTTTATAGGAGTCACGCAAACCAAACGCCCACGGCCACGCCCCACGTTTGAACTAGGGCTGTTGACAAAATATCGATATATCGAAAAAATGTTTTATTATTTAGAAATATCGATATTTATTTCTAATATTTTTGGACGACATATATTGAAATATAAGTTTGATATTGAAATATACATATACGACAGTCGATATATTTTTTTAAATAATTTAATATTTTATTTTTTCACGTAAATAATTTAATCTACAACACCATCGTATACTTAAATCCTAATCCTTGATGGACCCAATCTACTATACTTTATTTACACTATATTATGTTTTAATTTTTCCCCAGTTTATTTATTTGCTTATTACCTTAAAAAGAAATGTAATCTTGTACAGTATATCTCTGTGATATTAAAATCACTTTAATCTATTAAACTTAGTACTACTTTACTTACTGTGAGTTTTGGCAGGAGCTTGACAGTGATGCGATTATGTGTATTAAGTGTCTGCGCATGTAAGCTATTAGAGAAAACGACGAAATAAGTGCTTCGATGTAGGTATAAGCCTCAAGTTATTTTAATCGCTTAGGCGTCTTATGATTTACTTCCGTGCTATCAGAAATAGCTGTTAAATATTAGATTTCTTCAGCTGCATCCGTAGCATCTGAACGAATTACTTCTACAATCAATCTTTTAGTGCCTAATAATCGCAGTATTGAAACAGCTGAACATATAAAACAACGATTATTTTTGAAAACTCTTACTGAAAAATATTGGTAAACATAATTGTCTTATTTAAATTAAACAATAATTAAAGTTAAAGTTACAGATGTCCCAATGCTGGGCAGGCCTCTCCTAATTTCTGAGAGGGTTTTAGGGCAACGTCCGCCGCGCTGCCCAATGCGTGTTGGCGAACTTCACGTTTTTTGAAATTTTTATTTTATATCTCAGACTTGCAGGTTTCCTCACGATGTTTTTCTTCATCGTCGAACACGTGGTAAATCAGCACTTAAAATTGCAATTAACAATTTTATTGGTGCCGGCTGGGATTGTACCCGGTTTGCTCGCGTACTGTGAAATTTACAGCGAGCGCTAACCATCTGAGCTACCACGGCTCATTAATAATTACTAAGAATTATAACCTAACATTTTTATTCATTTATAATTTAATTTGTTTAATAAATATACTAAATTATAAACTGTCTAAATCATTTTTAAGCAATAAGCATCGATATATCGCTTATGTTTTCGATTTATAAAACTCCGATATTGATATATTTGTAATTATCGATATATTGAAAATCCGATATTTTAAAAATATTAACGGCCCTAGTTTGAACTGATCAGTTGGAATGATCAGTTGAACTGACCGTGTGTGTCGAAGTTTTTTTGGATTAAATCCGTTTGAAGTCATCAGTTGAACTGATGTCAGTTTAACTGACCGTGAGTGGGGACCATAATAGTACACTCTGAAGTATCGAAACTTCAAGGCAATTAAATGATCATTCGGCTTTAAAACAATCTTAGAAAAATTCTAAAGTCGCGGGCACAGCTAGTTGCAAATAAAAATCACTTGAAAAACTTACTGACAGACAGTGACGACTGACTATCTTTCTCTTCTTCTTTTTTTTTAAAATAAGGATTAATACTTGTGTATTTACTTTTTATTTTACTGTGTATTTTACTTTTTACTATACGTGGTAGAGCCATGCTGCAGCTATATTAGTACTATATGTATAGTTGTAGCACGAATGGGTCGGCTCGACCGGGGAAGGACCGAGTTCTCACAGAATACCAGCGTAAAACAGCTTAAACAGCAGCTGTTTCGTATGGTGAGTGTAGAGAACCGGAGACCCTTTTTACTGGAAAGGAGGCATTCCATCTTAGTTCTCACGGGTGACAACGTATTTGCATTTTAATTCGTAATCGAGGATAGATGTAGATGTCTATGGGCCACAGCAACCACTTACCATCAGGTGGACAGTGTGCTCGTTTGTCACCCTTATCCTATTAAAAAAAATGAAATACTTCGTAGATAAATTATTTTTGCCTATATCTAATTGTTTGGTCAGCGCAGCCGATAAAGTAGCCGAGCAGCGCTTTTACATATTATGTAGTTCCGACTTTTGTGAGAAAGCGCACGCGAGGACCTGTAAAATTGACACTTGAGAAATAAGTCAACAGATTTAAATGAAAGAAACTAAAGTTATTAAATGTTAGCCCAGGCTTACCTCTCTGTAAACCACAATTTATCACTGTAAACCACATCTCTCGGGTAGAGAGTAATAGTGTTCTGTGCATTGAGATATTAGTACATAATAGTTCAATGGTTCTGTGACCATATACAAATTGGTTCAGTTGTTGTGGAGATTAGCTTGTACAAATACAGAAACGAAAAATAAAACTGTTTACGATTTTATAACGTACATTTATATATTTATTTATTATGAATGAATTAATAATTTTTGACACAACACAATGTACAAATAAAATAAATTAACAAAAAAAAAAGACAATTTACACAAATAAATTGGGTTGCAGCAACCGACCGATAATATACCTGGATTTTGTCATTTTATCAACATACGACGATCAATAATAATTATTAACATTATACTAGGTTTTTACTATGTAAACTTATGATTGCTTTGGAAATAACTTTGGTACCTAACCTACTGTATATTATTTACCGTACTGTTTTCTTTATCTTGTATAACCTCTGTATCCTGTAATCAAACTTGGAGTTATCCCGCCATTGTAAATATTACCATAACCGGGACGCTTGTTATAATACCCGTAACCCAAATGATTCGATCCATGATAGTAAGGGTTATTGTAACCATAATAGGAACTTAATCCTCCATTGCCTCCGTACCCGCCATAGCCCCCATTTCCTTCTAAGCCACTGGGACTGTATCTTCCGTATCCTTGATCGCCCCCGTAGCTTGGATTACTGAGATATCCTGAATTATCAGCATTTTCGGGGTATCCAACATTATTGTAGGAATTATCATACCTGCCAAAACCACCATAACTTGAATCGTATTTATCGTCAATCACCCCAAACCCAGTGACACTGTATTCATATCCACCGGGGGATTTTCCGCCCCAATCGGAGTACTGATGGCTGTCTGAAACCGAACACGATAAAACGCTTTTAAAAACTCTATTTACATACTTTTTTACTATCTTATTTTTTACTTTGTTACTGTTTTCGGAATTTGCAACAGATGATTTTTTTTTCTCTATTCTTAAAGTCATACTCCGAGTTTATTGTTTCATAATTCTGATGTAGGTACCTATCACTCGCAACTGTGATGTGTATCAGTGATAAGTATGTATGTATGTTATGAAGAATATAATATTATGGTATAAATTATAATAGAATACCTACTAGCTTCTAATCTTCGGATCTGTAATAATAATTCTTTGCTTTGCTGTGTCAGTGTTTAGTAATGAATGATTCAGTATAGTTCTATTAAATTAAAGTTGTCAATATATTTCGATTAACACTTAAAAGAAACAGTAAAACAGGTAATGTAAAACAGTAAAACTAATGCACAATTTTAAATAATTAAATATGTTGTAAACAATAATTAAAAGCTGTTTTGCATAGTTACTCAGCCAAATGAGGTTGCACACACTGTACCTATCACCGGTTCGGTTGTTTATAATAATTTAATTTGTTATAAACCTAAATATAAATATAAATAAATATAAACAAAATTGAAGTGTCTGTCTGTCATGTCGAAACAACTGCCTCATATTGAGCTGATGGGGTTATTTCCAAACCATTAAAAAATAAATAACAATTTTTAAGAACTTTGTCTGTCTGTCTGTTGACATTCTGTTTGTCTTTTTGTTTGTCTGTCTGTCCATCTGTCTGTCCGTCTGTCAGTCCAAGCTAATATTCGTAATGGCTGAACCGTTGATTTGAACTTCTGTAATGAAACTACACGAACAGATAGAAAGCAATGCCTGGAGTAATGTAGGCTAATTTTTATCCTAAAAACTTGGAGATATTTTTTGAAAACCTTAATCTAAATAACGCCACATTAATAGATACCTAATTAAAGTAAAAATTGAAGATCTATTAATTTTACGTAAAAAAAGTCTTATACCTTTAATGGCGTTGAAGTAAAAAAAATGCTAAAATTCGGCAAAAGATAAGTATACAAATTGTAAGGACCTTTTTTATTACCTAATTATTGCTAGTCAAAAATAAGTATTATATTAGTGCAACAAAAATAAACTTAGTCAATTTAGGTACCTTGACCACTATAAAAAATATAAGCTTACATGAAGATGCATCGGTTTTCAAATCATCCTTTTCTTGGTCGATTTGATGAGGTGTAACAACACCTTTAATTGTTTGTGTTTGTAGTAACTTTTCCCGAGGCGCCGCAGTGGCACAGCAAACCAATGGTAGTAAAGCTAAAAAAATATACTTCATCTGCAACAAAAACAAAAATTACCTTTAAAATAATTTACTAACAAAACAACATAGTTTTTATTTTAGTTGTTGCAGATGTTTCATATGTAGTTTTTTGGAAGTAATTGGAAGTAAAGAATAGAAATGAGTTGGGTGGGGGGTGACCCGAACTTTAGGCCTAGTCTACACTCCTAGTAGTATACTCCTAGAGGGACAAAATGACCAAAAAACAAAAAATTATTATTTCGGCTATAACTCCGCCTCCTACGGAGGTTCTTACACAGTCTTTACTTCCCGCATCCCACTCGTTTGTACAGAGAAATATACTTTCTTATATCTATGAGTTTGTAGGAAGTACGGTGTACTTGTTTTTAATTTGAAAGGTACTTTACTAAATATAAAGTGATTTATTTTGGTATTATATTAAAAACACTTCAATACATAAGGATTTGTCGAAGAACATAAATGTGCCGTAATTTCCCGAACGCTGCCCAGGCGAGTTGAATCCGTCGATTGACCTCTCGGTCGAAATTGGACTTACTTAGTAGCACTATTTGTCCCAGGTAAACATACTTTTCAACAACTTCGAGCTTAGTGCTCCCAAAAACTATCGACATAGGTTTGACATGAACGTTATACATGATCTTCGTTTTGTCCATGTTCATCTTAAGACACTGTTGAGGTCATTGAGCATAGTGCTTAGGTCCTCCAGCGATTCTGCCATAAGGACTATATCGTCGGAAAATCGAAGGTGTGTGATGTACTCGTCGTTGATGTTAATACCGTATCCTTTCCAGTCCAGTAGCTTGAAGACGTCTTCCAATGCAGCGGTGAAGAGTTTCAGAGATATAACCTCACCCTGTCTTAAAGCTCTCTGCAGTTGGATAGGTTTCTTCGATGACATTTGCTTGCAAATAATTGTTTATAATTATTATGTGAAGGTAACTTCACGTGCATGTGAGCATGGCCTTAAATATGACCCCTAAGACTATAATCGACGTTAGTCAGACCATTCTCACGTTTACTACCTATTAAGTATGAAGTACGTAGACAAAATTTCATTACCATAGTTCAAGTAGTTCAAGAACAATACTTGTTGGCTATTGTGCTAGGTGATTTATTAACAAGTTTCAAGAACAATTTAGAAAATAATTACATCCATTATTATAATTTGTTTTGAATTAAATAAACATCTTATTTGGCAGCCCATTTCAATGCTGACCAATAAACTTGCTAAGATTTTGGCTATGATAACTTGTTAATTATTTTATCTAGACGCGGCAGTGTGTCAACAAAGTTACACAAATCATTTCAAGACACTTATACCCCATATATAACTTAAAAACTAGACCTATACATATATCAGGTATGTGTACGAAACGAAAGTACTACAAATGAACTCTGTATTAATTAGAGTCCTATATTTCATGAATAAACTTATTATAGTTCTTGTGTTACGAATATAATGGTCTGAAATGGGTACCATTTTTTCACTCCCTGACTAATTCACTAACTCGTTCATCAAAAACCTAGACTACTTCAAGGTTAAGGCCTTGATTACTTAGAAACTTGAAGTTTGGAATCAAGATAGATAATAAGGGCGAAATTCTGAAAACTACCCATTATCAATATTTTGTATCAATGGGTGTTGACAAAGTTATTGGTGCGGCTAGTTTCATGTACAGTCAGTACAGTTCTTGAAGGTAACCGCATTAATAATATTGTAGATATTTTGTTTTTCATAAACTTTAAATCAAAAATAGAAAACAGTAAAAGAAACAGAAATTGTTGTCATAAAGTTTAAATTGAAAATCGAAACAGTGACAACTCAAGAAAAAAACGTTTAAGGTTAAGTATTTAATAATATTAATAAAATCTTATCAAATATTAACAATATCCCAGTAAAAACTATGTAAATTATGTGAAAAGATTAAGATAACTATACCCAGTTCGGTACAAACGATGTTCGAGATTGTAGTTGCTTAAGTCATAGGATTTATAGGAATGTACAACGTTCTTGGAACTGCTGTGGATCTCGGTGCCCGTTTAGATATCAGCTTAACCGTTAACCCCGAACGTCGTTTAGTATCGAACTTAGCCCCATTTCCACATTTATGTTTTTTAAAGTACCTATGCTAGTTGTTAACATAAAATCTTCGATTTATTGACTAATTTAAGATCTAGTCTATATCTCATACATATTCATACATCATTGACTATTCTAAAACAAGAAATAATTTGAGCCCTCAATAAAACAGTCTTCAAAGATATTGAGACTTTAGTGGCTTAAAAAGCAAATCTTTCAAATAATAAAGAACATTAAAATAAAGTAACTTTTAAGGTAAATTTCAGAGTTTAATATTTTTTCTTGCCGTTTCCAGTTTCCGGTTTTTTTTTGTGTACTTTCATGGTTTTATTGCACTAGCACAATATGGTTTACAATCGTTACAGTCTTATATAATTTTTTTTTCATGAGAAAAAAGAATTAATCTTCATTATTCTACTATCCGATATTCTTTTATGCAATTTATTATTAAGCTTTGAGGTGCTTCTATGTAAACAACGACACCTTAAAAGCGATTCAGCTTGAAAATTTTGCTTCTACCATAAGCTACGACTAACGACTTTTGATACCAACAATCATTTGCTCGCTACTTTCAAAAAAAAAGAAAAGAATATGTTGTGTTCCTTCGAAGTTTTTCTGGATTTTGCCTATTTTTGTTATTTGTTAAAATTAAAGTTATTTGTGTTATATAGTGTTATAAATATTTTAGGAGCAGAAAAAGTAGGTACCTGAATTCTTGTCACAGTTTCAATCTTATGCAATAATGTTAGTTCTTCAATATCTGATCACTCATGTAAGTAATGCAAGTGAGACTCCATTTTAAGGAAATTAAAATAGAAGCAATAAATACTTTTTTAAATTTTATTAATACTAATTGTAAACGTTTCTTTACAGTATTCATGGTCACCCCGGTGACACAGTGGTGATGTAAAGCAGTCACGACATAAAAACATAAATCAAATTATACACGACATAATCCATAAAATTCGTTTTATTCAATGCGTTGTATTTACGTAAATAATACAAATTAATTATTTTGAAAATACGTTAAAATTTATAATTTTAGATAATTTTATTTTTGTTTCTATTTATCTACCTGGTTTGACTTCAAATATGAAACCAAAACTAAATATAAAGTTATATTCTTCCTAATGAATGCTTATTTTCACAATGTAGTTCTTAATATATGGGCACTTGTTTCTTTTTATTAATAAAAGTAAAAGAAGTAAAGTTACAGTCTATAGAAGCAACGCGGCTATGTTGGCGGACTTTACACGTCCTCAAAATATATTATTCCTCAGTTAAGCAGGTTTCTTTTCGCGATGTTTGGCTTTAGCGCCGAGAACGTGATAGGTACTAGCACTTAAAATTTCTTACAGAATATGTTCTTTTTATCGTTACAACATTTTACGCTACATTAGCATTTAATCCTGCATCTTGAAGTCAGTTTACATAACATAAATTGCACAAGGACAAACATCCAGACTCGAATCAATTATTTCACTTCATCAATTTCACTTAATTTCTAAGATTTGGTATGTTTGACCTATAAATGCTAGGTATCTTAGATTTGAAAAAAAATGTGGTTTATTTGCAAATACCTGTCCTACTATAATATATAGGTGTTTAGTTTTTTTTTTAAATTATTAAGGAATAATCTTTCAATGCATTAAGCTCGCCGAACTAAATATATGAGGTAGATTTATTAATTTTTTTACGTGGTAAGGCCATGCTGCAGCTATTACTGGTATATTTGTAGCACGAATGGGTCGGCTCGAGCGGGTAAGGACCTGGCTCTCACAGAATACCAGCGTAAAATATCAGCTTAACGCTGCTGTGTTTCCTATGGTGAATGTAGAGAACCGGAGACCCTTTTTACTGGAAAAGAGGCATTTCATCTTAGCCCTCACGGGTGACAACGTATCTGCATTTTGATTCGTAATCGAGGATAGATGTATGGGCCACAGCAACCACTTACTATCAGGTGGACTGTGTGCTCGTTTGTCACCCTTATCCTATAAAAAAAGAGTATCGTATGTCACGCGAGTGATATTGTTTGTGGATGAATTATTAAAAGACACAATGTTAAATGAGGAAAAAGTTAACGTTATAAAAAAAATGATGTCAAAAACTAAGGTTAAAATAAAAAATAAAAAAATAAATTTTTTTTGTTTACATTGCAATAGGATATTTATTTCACGAAGCTAAGATCAAAAAAAATGGTACGAGAATAATCATGGTATTAAATTGTATAAATAAATGTAACGGGTAATTAGTAGGTACTTTTGTTAAATGATATATTATTATTAAAAAACTAGTTTTTGTATTTTATTATATAAAAATGTAAATTATAAATGAAGAATATTATATTGGGTCATATTAAGTAATCTAAAACTACGTATTGACTATATTGTACAATAAACTAAAATATAATCAGTATCAAGAAATAAAATAACTTACATTGCACTTTGTATGGGACGGTATTGCGAAGCACCGACACTGGTAGTGTCCATAGATAGGAGGAGATGCGCTCTGCGTGCGTACGCACGCGTTCAAACCTTTATAAACCGTGGGAGTTTTTGCTTATAATTGACAATAGTCTCACCGGAGGTAATGAGTGCGTTTGTAGTCAGCGTGTCCTTCTACAAAGATGCTATAACGTGGACTAAAACGGACACAATGCGTCGTTATGTGTAGACGATCTTAGTTTGTCTTCCTGAAAGTTAAACCTTCCTTAATTTTATTAGTCCCATTAAGATTGGTTCGCAAATTCTACGGTCAAAGCAAAAAAAAAACACTGAAACATGGACCCATAGGCCAGGTCCGTCGCTAGGATCGGGGACGCTTGTGTATCCAAGTAGTCGTTTTCCTGGCTCGGGGAACTTACAAGTGAGTTGTACAGGTCGAGACAGAGATCATATAGGAGAGCACGCAACGTGTTACAATGCGTCCTGCG